TTCCCTAGCCACTTTCCTAGCTTAAATATAATTTTACATGCAGAAAAGAATGCCAAATAAATGTAAAGCACTAATAAAATGTATAAATGAACATGAACATCACACTTACCTTTATTGAAGACTCTTGTTGGTGTATGGCAGACGTGGCAGAGGGAGGGGAGGCGAGTTTGTTGGAGAATATGACACTAATATCAACTCTCCGGCTTATTTATCTATCACAATTCAACTAATATGACATAATAAACAATATTAATAACATAGAAACATGGAATATACTCTAGAATGAATAAAATAAGTCATTATGTATGTCACGAGAGGTGTGTTGTGTTGTTGTTGGGTGTATAAGGGCCACTGAGAGCATATGCCGTCCATAATGGTGGGGAAGCAGCAGCTGAGGCGGCGGTGTTTTCTGTAGCCCTATATAATTCCAACAGCATTGGAGGAGTTAGTAGAATCGCTGAATCACTGAAGAAGGCACCCTCCACCACCATTACTACCACCCTCTACCACCATTACTACCACCCTCTACCACCATCAGTACCACCCTCTACCACTATCACAACTGCTACCACCCTCTACCACCATCAGTACCACCCTCAACCACTATCACAAGTGCTACCACCCTCTACCACCATCACTACCACCCTCTACTACCATCACTACCACCCTCTACTACCATCACTACCACCCTCTACCACCATCACTGCCACCCTCTACCACCATCACTGCCACCCTCTACCACCATCACTACCACCCTCTACCACCATCACTACCACCCTCTACCACCATCACTACCACCCTCTACCACTATCACAACTGCTACCACCCTCTACCACTATCACAACTGCTACCACCCTCTACCACTATCACAACTGCTACCACCTACCACCACCACTTTAGTATTTTTCTACAAACTTTTTCTTAAATTAAATGTTTTTCTCACATTCTTTACCAGAGGGCTGGCACTAGAAGCTTTCTTTGGAGCCATGGTGGCCTATTTAGCAGTTGCAAGCACTAAAACAAATGGAATACATTATGAAATGTATCATATGAACTTGTGGGATCATCCTCACTCACTGATAAACAATGGCACACTGGCTGGGAATGGAGTGAGGCTGCTCAGGGTGTGTATATGCATCTGAGACAAACGACTATTTGCGAGTCAAACAATGATTACGAAGTCAATGTTTTGACGAAAAAAGTTACGATTTTTGAAAATTACGACTTTTGAGCCTTAAGAAAAACGAGGGTCAACTGTAGATAAATGCAAGGTTCTGAAGCTCGGGAGTGTCCATAACCCTAGCACATATAAGTTAAATAACGTAGAACTTACCCAAACAGATTGTGAAAAGGACTTGGGGGTTATGGTAAGCAGCAACCTTAAACCAAGACAGCATTGCCTAAGCATACGTAATAAAGCATACAGATTACTGGGATTTATATCTAGAAGTATAAGCAACAGAAGTCCAGCGGTTATTTTACAACTTTATACATCATTAATAAGGCCTCATCTAGATTACGCAGCTCAGTTCTGGTCTCCATATTACAGAATGAACATAAATTTGTTAGAAAACATTCAGTGTAGAATCATTAAATTAACCCATTAACTGTCGCAACCCCAAGTTCTGAAGTGTCTCCTGGCGTCGAAAAATTTTTGGAAAAAAAAAAAATTTATGAAATGATAATGTTTTCATGATGGTAATGACACCAAAAGTACAAAATTTGATAAAAAAAAAACTTACAGAATTACGCTCCCGCGAAGTTAGCGATCACGGGAATATATATGCATTGGCGATTTTGCCGACTTTGAGCCTTACTTTTGGCCAGTTCCATTGTTCTAGTCAACCAAACTCATAGCTATTTCTTTAGAACTCTATTTTTTCTATCAGTTGAGTACAAGAAACTACCCATTTCCCAATTTCAACTACCCAATAAAGTGGTCAGAAATTGGCAATTTGGCCAATTTCACACAAATTAAAAAGATGCCAATTTCAAAATAGGGTCCAGAATAAACAATGTAGACATTTTTGGCACTAAAATAACATATCCTCTGTTCATTAGTCACGTCTCCAGGTCCCTCTTATATTACTCTTGCTTTCTATTTTGATTATTTGTTCACACAAAAAATAGGAGATTTACTGTTAGGCAAACTACTGCATTATTGTAAAAATGGTATAAATAATATCAGTGCACTAGTGAAAGAATATTAGACTCCCCAGTTGACGTGTATTGGACATGTGGTGTGATCTGCTTACTCCTGAACATTGGTAAAAATCGAACATTTCCGCTAATTTGAGCTCAATTTCAAGGTCATTTTCATCGTGAAGCTAATCAAAACCATCTCTATTTCTGTAACATGTTTTCCATTCTATCAAATGAGACCAAGAAAACGAGAATACAACCATAAATACTATAGGAAAATACACCTCAAAGTTGGTGTTTTAATCCAAAAACACGGTCAGAGTTCTTTTTTTCTCATTATGCACTGCGTGCTGCAGGATTTTTTTATACAGTGCACACTGACCACACAGACACATTCTCACACATGTGGGACTACCAGCTTTCTCCTGCTTGATTTGAAGCTGCTAGAATTATTGAGTATAAGTGTATTCTAAGTAATATACACTATGTATAATTCGGGATAGCATTGAAAATTGGGTTGGGCAAATGTTTTGTTAGTGGGATGGATTGTAAAGGACCTGCCTAGTATGGGCCAACAGGCCTGCTACAGTGTTCCTCCTTTCTTATGTTCTTATATCCTAAACACAGGCTTGTAAAATGTACATATAAGGCTGAAACAGTCAAAGGGTTAATACATAGCATTAGAAATCTTCCGTGCAAAGAAAGATTGAAGACTCTTAAACTACATTCACTTGTAAGATGAAGAATGAGGGGAGACATGTTCAAAGTGTATAAGTGGAAGTTGGGTATTAACCCTTCGAGGGTCGACAGGCCCTCTCCGAGACTCGTTCTCAGGGTCGGCCAAATTTAAAAAAAAAAAAAAAAATTCTTATGAAAAGATAGAGAATCTTTTCCCGATCATAATGACACCAAAATTATGAAATTTGATGGAAAACTTACGGAATTATGCTCTCGCGAAGTTAGCAGTCTCGGTGATGTTTACGCATCGGTGATTTTGCCTAATTTGAGCTCCATTTTCGGCCAATTCCACTGCACTAGTCGACAAAAAACATGAATATTTCGCTAGAACTCCATTTTTTCTATCGAATGAATGCAAGAAACCACCCATTTACCAAATTCAACTATCCAATACAGTGGTCAGAATTTAGCAATTTTGCCAATTTCACACAAATTTCAAAAGATGCCAATTTCCGAATAGGGTCCAGAATAAACAAGAAAAACATTCCTGGCACTAAAATGACATTTCCTTTGTTCGTTAGTCACGTCTCAAGCCCCTCTTACATTCTTTTGCTTTCCACTTTGAATTTTTATTCTCACAAAAAATAGAAGATTTACTGTTACGCAGACTACTGCATTAGTGTTAAAAATGGTATAAATAATATTGGCGCACTTGCAAAAGAAAATTAGACTCACCAGTTGACGTGTATTGGACGCTTGGCATGATTTGTTTACTTTTGAACTTTGGTAAAAATCGAACATTTCTGCTAATTTGAGCTCAATTTCAAGGTACTTTTCATTGTAAAACCAGTCAAAATCATCTCAATTTCTGTAATATGTCTTCCATTCTATAAAATGAGACCAAGAAAACTAGAATACAACAATAAATACCATACAAAAATACAGTGCAAAGTCGCTGTTTTATTCCAAAAAAACGGTCAAAGTTTTTTTTTCTCATTATGCACTGTGTGCTGCAAGATTTTTTTTATACTGTGCACACTGACCACATAGACCCATTCTTTCATATGTAGGCCTACCAGCTTTCTCCCACTAGATTTGAGGGCGCTAGAATTTAGGCGTACTAGTACGTCAAAAACCCTGGGTCGTAAGCCGTACTAGTACGGCCGAAACCCTCAAAGGGTTAACAAAGGGGATATAAGTATGGCTTTGAGGATATCCCTCCAAGTGAGAGCCCGTAATAATAGATTCAAATTAGACAAGTTAATTATCTGCCTCACACACTGGATGTTGAACTGACTCTTCCAAAAGTCTTTGAGAATTAGGTCAGTGCCAGAGGTCACTTCAAAACACTTTTGAAACAGGGCTTTCATATAAAGATTTTTACAGCTGAATTGTAAATAAGCCGGTGCGTTTGGACTCCAGAAAAACGTTAAAAGATGGTCAATTTTTTGTGAACAAAATTGTTCAACCTCTGGTTCATTTGAGGTCCAGTATGTTCGAACACCAAGGTTCCACTGTATAAATATAGAAACTGGGCCAAACAGATCGACGTTCAAATTCGTAGTGCTACAAAAGTAGATCTACTTTTTTTTACATATTTTCAAATACAGTGGACCCCCGGATAACGATATTATTTCAATCCAGAAGTCTGTTTGGGTGCCGTTATAGACCGAATTTGTTCCCATAAGAGATATTGTGAATTAGATTAGTCCGTTTCAGACCCTCAAAAATACACCTACAAAAGCACTTACAAAAATACACTTATATAATTGGTCGAGTTGGGAGCTGATCATTATGCGGGGGTCCACTGTATAACAAAAAAAAAAAGTAGATAAAAGTTTTTTTTACATGTTTTCAAATGTAAAACAAAAAAGATCTACATTGTTTTACATACTTTCAGATGTTGAAAAAACATATACAGTGGACCCCCGCTTAACGATCACCTCCAAATGCGACCAATTATGTAAGTGTATTTATGTAAGTGCGTTTGTACGTGTATGTTTGGGGGTCTGAAATGGAGTAATCTACTTCACAATATTCCTTATGGGAAAAAATTCGGTCAGTACTGGCACCTGAACATACTACTGGAATGAAAAAAGTTCGTTAACCGGGGGTCCACTGTATATACGTTTGGACCGTTTAAGGGTTAAGTGCTCAAATTAATTAATTAATGTTTTCAGCTGCATGACTTTGGATACCGAGGGGCATCTTCTGTAGAGAGTGCTGCTATTGGTGGGGCATCCCATCTGGTGAACTTTAAGGTGAGTATTGATAACTTCATTTGTATCTTCCCATTATTTTTATAGTGTATCTGGAAGTGACTCCTAGGAAAAGATGACTAATACTGTTTAATTCAAGTCTAGTGTATGTCCACAGCTTCACTTAATACACTCCCTACTTTTGTGTCTGCACGAAGACAAACTTCTCACAACTAAAAATGTACAGGTTTCTTAGATAATGAAAACATATGGATGCTTTTTGGCATTATTGACTCCTTGATAAGTTTTGACACCAGTTGTGATGTTACTTTTTATAGCCTCTTTTAGGCAAAAAATGTAACATTTATTAAATAAATAAATATTCAAAGTTTTATTCTCTATAAGGATTACAATGCTGAGTTTACAGAATTTGGTTATTGTGTGGTTTACATGTAGTAAAATAATAATTACAGAGTGTACCACTAGAACACCTAGCATGGCTAGGCATTTCGGGCAGACTTAGATTAAATCTTAAGTTTAAAATATTACAAAATTATGAGGTAAGTTGGTATTATGGCTAAGTGACTAAATACTAGTTTGTGAGTATAGCAATGTGAATGCTTTTGTTTTGGCACTATACATAGTTTCAGTATTGGAGTATCACAGGCCAACTTATGACTAGTTAAGATTCATTATTTTAAGATTGAGATTGATATTTCTGTTTATCGTCAAATGGGTGAGTGAGTGTAAGTGTGAACCACCAGGTGGTATTCGTGTAATTAGTTGACAGGGTGTATCAGGGAGATAAGATGTTTTCTGATGGTAGTTTTGAAGGTGATGAATGTGTCTGCAGTTCTAGAGTTTTCAGGTAGGGTGTTCCAGATTTTAGGGCCCTTTGACATACATTAAATTTTTTGTAAAGGTTTAGTCGGACACGGGGAATGTCATAGAGGTTTGTGGTCTGGTGTTATGCCTGTGGGTTCTGTCACAACTATCAAGAAAGCGTTTTAGGTCAAGGTTAATATTGGAATTTAAGGTCCTGTAGTGTAGATTGCACAGTAGTAAGTGTGGATGTACTGAACAGGGAGTAGTTTAGATCTATGAAGAGTGGGGGGGTGTGTTTTCCAGGGATGGGGTTTAGTGATTATTCTTACTGCGGCTTTTTTTTGGGGTTTTTGTTGGCTTTAGGTGTGTTGCTGCAGTTGAACCCCAAGCCAGATGCATAGGTGAGGTATGGATATATAAGTGAATGGTATAGTGTGAGAAGGGCAGTTTGCGGCACGTAGTATCGTATCTTGGAGAGGATCCCAACCGTTTTGGATACTTTTTTGGTTAGTGTTGGATATGGGTGCTGAAATTCAAGTTGTTTGTCGAGGTATAGTCTAGGAATTTGCCCTCATTATGTCTGGCAATTAGAGTGTTGTCGATCTTAATGCTAATTTGCGCATCCCTGCTCTGCTACCAAACATAATGTAGTAGGTTTTGTCAGTGTTAAGCGTAAGTTTATTGGCTGTCATCCAAAATCGATATTTGATCAGCTCCTCATTAACAATGGTGTTGAGGGTGGCAAGATTAGGGTGAGAGATGACATAAGTCGTGCCCGTCAGCAAAGAGAATGGGGTTCAGGTGTTGAGATACGTTTGGAAATCATTGATGTATAGGAGGAAGAGCAGGGGCCCCAAGGACCTTCCCTGTGGAACTCCAGTATCAAGTGGCCGTGTTGTTGATGCTGTGTCTTTATGGTGAATACTGATACCTATTAGTAAGGTAAGATTTGAAATATGCAAGTGCATGGCCTCTTATAACATAATGGTCAAGTTTGTGGAGTAGGATGCCGTGGTCTACTGTGTCAAAAGCTTTTCTTAGGTCAATAAAAATTCCTAGTGGATATTCCTTTTTTTTCCAATGCTGTGTAAAGCAGATCTAGCATTTTTATGATTGCATCGTTAGTGCTTTTTTTTTTCCTGAATCCGAATTGGCAGGGGTTGAGTATGTTTTGTGCCGTTATAAATGAATATACTCTCCCGTGCACGAGTTTCTCAAAGATTTTGGATAGCAGTGGTAAGTTTGATATTGGCCTATAGTTGTTTAAATCTGTAGGGTCACCACCTTTGTGTATTGGTGTAACCCTCTGCCGTTTTGAGTAGTTTCGGGAAGGTGCTAGTTTCTAGTGACTTGTTAAAAAGGGAATGAGATAGCATGCGGAAAGGGCATGGGCCGCTCGCTTGTACAATAAGGTGGGACATGAGACAGATTCCCCGAGTTATTTTTAAGTGACTTTATAATCTCGGTGACTTCCGAGGGCTCAGTTGGTGCAAGATAGAAGGAATTTGGGAAATTCCCATCTAGGTAGTCCCCTGCATGGGCATTGGTATGTGGGATTTTATTGGCGAGATTAGATCCTATGGTTGAGAAGAAGTCGTTTATCTTGTTAGCTGTGTCAGTGGGATGCAGTGGTGTTTCATTAGGTTTAGTTAGGACAGTATTCTTGTTTTTTTTCAGTTTGTGGGTCCCTAGAATCTGAGTGTTTTCCAGGTCATTTTTATATCTCCTCTTGTGTCAGTGAATCTACTGGAGTAGTATAGTTGTTTGGCTTTCTTTATTACTTTGGTGAGGACTGATGAATAGTGTTTAAGAATATCTTTGTGTATTAACCCTTTCAGGGTCCGTCCCGTAAATCTACGGCTTTACGTTCAGGGTCCAAACCGTTGATCTCCGTCATGAGCTCAGCTCACTCTGATAAACTGTGAGTGGTACATTTGGGCCTAGATATGAGAGAATGCATAAAACAGATCCTGCAGCACACTGTGTATAATGAGAGAAAAAAAACTGAAATCACGATTTTTCGACTAAAACAGCGACTTTGCAGTGTTTTTTCATATGTTTTTTATAGTTGTATTTGCGATTTCTTTGTCTCATTTGATAGAATGGAAGACATATTACAGAAATAGAGATGATTTTGATTGGTTTTAGCACTGGAAATGGCTTGAAACTGAGCTCAAAGTAGAAGAAATTTTAAATTTTTGCCGATATTCAAGAGTAAACAAACGACCTCACACGTCTAATACACGCCAACTGGTGGGTCTAATATGCATTCACAAATATGGTGATGATATTTATACAATTATTACAGTATTGCATAACAGTAAATCTTCTATTTTTTGGTGTGAATAAAAATTCATTATGTGAATAAAAAATCAAAATGGAATTTATTTGTAAAGCCTCAAAACATAACTAATGAACAGAGGAAATGTCAGTTTAGTTCCAGGAATACCTACATTGTTTATTCTGGACCCTATTTTGAATTTGGAATATTTTGAACTTTGTGTTAAATTGGCCAAATTAACAATTTCTGATCACTTTAATTTGTAGTTGAAACAGATGACTTGGCAATTTCTTGTGCTCAGTCGATAGAATAGAAGTAATACTAGTGAAATAGCTAAGAATTTGGTTGACTGGAATAATGTAATTGGCCTAAAATGGGAGTCAAAGTCGGCAAAATCACCGATTCGTAAATATCGCTGACACATAAAAATTCGTGAGAGCATAATTTCGTAAATTTTCCATCAAATTTCGTACTTTTTGTTTTATTACCTTCACAAAAAGATTCTCTACCATTTCATAAGAAAAAATAACAAATTTTTTTTTTTGAAAATTCTTGGAGACTGGGGCACCACTTCAGATTTGGGCCTTGGACCCTGAAGGGGTTAAGCCCTGTCTATATTGCTTTTCATATTGGTGTTTTTTATCAATGGATTTCAGAATGGTGCTGGTTAGCCATGGGCAACCAAGCCGTTTGTTTGTGATCTGTTTCGTTTTTATAGGACAATGTTTGTTGTATAGTCTAAGTAATTTGTTAAGAAAAATGTCTGTCCAGTCATCAATACCATTGGCCTTGGAGAATTCTGTAGGCCAGTCAACAGTCTCTAGGTCAGCTGTGAACTTCCTTATTGAGGCCTCATCATGAGTCTAAATGAAACTTGTTTGTATTCAAGTGGTGGTTTACTAATGTTTGTCAAGAGAAAGGTGTTTTGATTGAGTTACTGCTCATGTGACTGTATATTGTTAGTGGCAAGCTGCGGGGATTGGGGGGGAATATGTGCGTCTTGGGGAGTCTTAGTATGGGCTCAATAGTGGATTGCAGTGTGAGGGCTGTGCGCGATTGGGGGGCCCCCTTAGCCGTGTGGGGATCTGGTTCAAGGTGGGGGCTGTCACTCAGTGATGCAGTTTTGGAACCGTTCGGGGGTGTGAAGAGTGTGCAGTGGCCGGGAGATAGGGTAGGTCGAGGTGTTAGGCGCTTTGGAGCCAGTGGTCACGTTGTGTGGGTGGTGGAGTGTTTCATTTGTAGATGTTATGGAAATCAGGTGGATTTAAGACATACTCTTAGTCCTGGTCAGAAAAAAGAGCAGATGCAGTTCGTGGTACAGTGGACCCCATTTTTCGTAAATTAATTCGTTCCAGAGAGTGTGAGAATAACACTATTATCGAATTGACGATTTTGCGAAATCATTTTTCCCCGTAAGATATAATGTATAATCCAGACACCAGAAGTACAAAATTTTTTTTTTTTTTTTTTTTTTTTTTTTGATAGATTTACATGCTCAAAGACATGAACATTCAACATATCAGTTACCTGTATTGAAGGTTGTTGTTGATGAAGGAAGGAAAGGGTGGAGGTGTGAGGGAAGAGAGGTTCTTGTTTGGAAGGTGAATCCCCTCATTAAGGACTCTAGGTCACTTCAGGGTGTCTCTTCCTAGCCACTTTCCTAGGCTTAAAATATAATTTTACATGCTGAAAAGAATGCCAAATAAATGTAAAGCACTAATAAAATGTAATTATATGAACTGAACATCACCACTTCCTTTTATTGAGACTCTTGGTTGGTTGTTATGGCATGACGTGGAGCAGGGAAGGGGAGGCGAGTTCTGTTGGAGAATATGACACTATTATTCAACTCTCGGACATTATGTATCTATCACAATTCAACTAAGATGACTTAATAAACAATCTTAATACATAGAATCATGGAATATACTCTAGAATGAATAAAATAAGTCTTTATGTATGTCCACGAGAGGGTGTG